GCAGGTTAAGGTCTTTGCTCCATATTTTCCTGTGTGGGCGTTCCATGAGTACACACTAAGATTTTTTTTACTGGAGTCAGTATTTTTTTACTGGGTTTTTGAATTGCTGAAAAAGTAGGTAAAAATTCAAATGACCGTTATCCGTAAGGAATCAATGAAAACGGCCAACTTTATTTTCCATCATTAAATGGGGTAACAGAACTAAGTATGTACAAGTTCAGAACAAATTTTCTCATTAATAAATTTTCCACAGATTTTTAAACTTTTACCGAACAGTTCCGCAATTCAAAAACTCAGTAAAACCGTACTGACTCGATTAGTGTGTCTGTAGTGCAATTTTCCTTTCTCCTTTGAAGCTTCCTTGTACTTCCGCGTCCAATCCTCCCAGACTTCAGTGTTGCTGAGGATCTACGCATCTCCTAGTGTGATCCCACGGAAGAAGGACTGGTTATCCCGTGCTTTGGCGACCGCTAACTGATCTGCTGACTCGTTACCTTTTATTCCGTTGTGACTTGGCACCCACTGGATCCTGATGGCGTTCCCTCTGACGTACCGGAATTCCTTGTAGATTTCCCATAGTAGTTAGTTTCCTCGAGCAATCGTTCATTCAGCAGCATTTCGCAGGCGCTCCTAGAGTCAGTGAAGATGACCGCTTTCCTGTAACCTTTCTCCTTGACTAACTCGATTGCCTTCAGTATACTGAGCAGTTCCGCATTCATGATCGTGAAGTTGTTATTGATGTTCTCTGCCACGCTGGTCGCATCGGTGTAGATTCCGTTGTGTTGCTTATACGAGTTATGCATTGCTTCCTGAAACAGTGCCTGTCATACTACTTCCGGGGTGCGTTCCTTCTTATGCCTGGCCTCTCCTAGCGTTGTGCTTACAATTGTATCGAATTCAACTCGTTGGAAAAAACGCATTCTTCTTTCCAGAGGAAGACCCCTATCCGACGGGTGGACTTGGAAAAGTAGATCCACATGCTTATCTGCTATCTCCGTTAGGAAGGACTCGTTGCTAATTTCCCTGTTCAGGGTATCACCGACGAACTTCATCAGAGGAGTTCTGAACCAGAGTGTCCTGATGAGTTCCCTCTTGGTAAGGGCTTCAATCCGTTGTTCCATGGGTATTTGTCCTGCTTCCGCTAGCATTACATGAACTGGAGTTCTGGTGAGGTAACACAATGCTTTCCGGATGTACGAGTTGTGCTGAACCTGGAACTTGTTGAGGTGCGTCTTTGCTGCGTTTCCATAAACCGTTGCTCCGTATTCCAACCGGCTCCATATCAGCGCGTTCCTAATCTTGACCAAGGTTTCCGGATTTGCTCCGCTAGATTTGCGAGAGAGCATTTTCATCAATCCATCTTTGCTTCTTGCTTTGTCTCTTACCGACTCTATGTGTTTTCTGTGAGTCAATCCTCTGTCCAGCACGTATCCCAGGTAAGGATGTGTGTTTACCAGTTCTATTCTTTCTCCATGTACTTCTACCCCTAATAAAATTGTTATGGTTATTTTGCTTAACGACGTGTTCTGGGTATCTTCCAAACCATTAGTGGAAAAGTTCAATTATTTGGGTTATCGTTCGTTTATGGTTATTTTTTATTAGGGACTTCAATCCATCGGTCCTCTTCCGGGTGAAGGCGATGATCGCTGATTTATGGTTGCTGACTTTCAGGTTCAATCTTGCCAGTCTGTCGTAAAGTTGTGGTAGAAACCTGGTGCAGATTTCCGCCACTGAGTCGGCGAAATCGTCCGCCAATTGCAGCAACTCGCATCCACTGTGGGACAGATCGTGTAGTTCGTCCGTGTACAAATTGAAGAGAATAGGGGAGAGTCCCTCTAAACTTCGGCTTCTATAGGTCCGTCCTCCGAGCTTAGCACCATTTTCCGTGATCTTAGATATTCGTGACGCCACGAGATAATTTTTCCTGGGACAAGAGTTAAATTTATCTCGTGGTTAAAAGTGATATTTTCAAACTTATTTTCTATGTTCGAAAATCCTCTTGCTGTCGATCGATTGGTTTTCGAGCCACGGTTGTCAAAATTTAACTTCTTGTCTGTCAGAAATCACCATGCTCGGATAGCAGGGTTAATCGATAACTTTCCATCTGTCAAATTTTAACCAAATGTTAGCTGGGTGGTTCTTCTGTCTGTCCAATGCTACCAAACATCATGGCTGTGATTTTGGCTTGGCTCTACTTCAAGAGCCTTGAGCTGTTGTTAAAACGCAGAATCCCTAGTTTCTCCCGTGGAAGAAGAGCATTCTCCGAACAGCTCTGTTAAGAAGTGATCAAAGTCATCCTCAGTTGTCTCAGTAGTAGCTGGAACGGTCATGGCAGCCAATGGTGCCGGGTTTTGATACGATGAAATCCTCTTGTAGTTCTAAAAAAACAAAAAAAAAATAAACGTCAATGAATAGTGCAATCGATACATGTACATTACTAAATACATTCAATTATAAATATAATTTACCTGTATCAGTTCTTTTTCATCACTTGTAAACAGCTTGGAGCCCATGTAATTTAGTCGAGGATCCAAGTACAGTGCCATTTTGAAAGCTCAGCAGCGCAGCAGTTAATGGAGTAGCAAATGGGTTTTGCGTGAGCTCCGACAATTCCATTACAGCCAGAAGCCATTGCAAATAAAAATCTGGCAATGACACGTGTTCCGACTGCATATTCTTCGTGCAGTAGTATAACGGTTTAAACGCCTGCACATAGTTGCCAATCAACTCCCAGTCATTAGCGAGATCTGAAAAAATGTGATGTCAAGTGTTACAATTTTTGTAGTATACATAAATATTATGGAATATTACCGAGTTCTGGGAACTGAACTTCTTGGAAATATTTGTCACTCGCCTACGGGATGAGTTCGACTTGTCAACTTCATATAGAATTGCCAGTTGCAGGGTACGAACCGCACATTTCGAGATTGGGGTTCTCTTTGAACTCGTTGATTAGCGCTGCGGTGAACTCATGGTCTTCCTTATCTTGCTCTTCGGTATGTGCTGAGTCCAAGGCCAACATCTCTTTTTCCTGCTTGAGCTGCCGAACTGTGTGCGAGCATATTGACTCCGTTGTCGCATGTCACTGAGAATATTTGATTTATTCCAACGCCGTAGCTGTTCACAACCTCCAATATTTTACGCTTCAAAAACCGGGCCTTTTGACGTTTTTTTTTTTATTTCCAGCATTGCTATAAAAAAAACAGTTGATGTCCAATAGATTAAAATATTATAAATGATAAATTTACCCAAAGTGTGAATCACTATTTTGTCGTTGAGTATTGTGCATTAATGCCCAGTACATGGCGGTTGTGTCGAGAGGCTGAGTCAATTTTGAGGCTGATGAGCTAACCTTTCATTTCTGCTGCTATAGCCTCACAAATCCTGCCAGCAATTTCCTTGACCGTAACCTTCATATTTATTGGACTTATTAACAGTTAATGCCAAAGGATCAAGGAGTTGCTTAAATCCTTCCCATTGCAAACATAACAGGGGCATGTTTTGGTACGAAATCAGTTTCACCAATGAATCCATAAACAATAATTTGTCAATTGGTACAGGACGTTTTGCCACAACTCGCTGCTTCTTTGCCAGTGTTTCATCTTGCTTGGTTAACCCGTTCTAGTACTACACTATGTTTGTTTTGATTAGCTATGAAAGTTCGACAGATAAAATAAGGGGTTCGTGGATTTTCCTATGTTTTGAGGGGTGCATCGATTAGCTTGGGACCGAAGATAGTACCAGAGCAGAGCCAAAAAGTTGACCACCTTTCTTCGGGACCTTCTGGTCTTAGAGTTACCTCTATGGTAGTGTTCGATTAAAGTGCTGTGCAGCACCATTTTCCTTCAGTGAGTATTTAGTTGACCTTAAATAACTCTCTGCTGATTCAAAGTCTTCTATTTCTCATCTTTTCTTGTAGAAGGTCCTGCAGATCGGTGAAGATCTTGGATTATCGCTTTTTCCTTTCTAACGTGAAGAAGATCTTTCAAATCCACGGATTTCAAATACTTCTCCAGTCTGAAATGCCAGGTGTCAAAGGGATTCCATGAACCAACTCCGAAAATAGACCCCTATATCCCTATACACCTCCTGATGTTCAGAGTGATAACTCAAAGTTTTGAAATATTCTTTTGGCCCACTGCCCTACAAACATTGGAAGCAGAATAAGAGCTAATTCAGGCAAAAATATGCTTCTTCTGCTAAAAATGGCTCATTCTACTTTTAATCAGTTCAAATTGATTGCTGGGTGGCCCACTGAAATCAGCATAACACGTCTACCATGAGAACGCACGTTTCCTTTTCCGGGAAAAAAAAAGTAACATGTCGCGTAGAACTCCATTGGGGCCCGCTTTGTCCAGCGTAATATAACCGGTACTTTGACCTTTCCCTAAGCTGTTTTTTATCGCCTTTAACAAATCTTCCTTTCCGACTCTAAATATACCCGATACAAGATCTAGATTTTCCGGTTGAGTTGGAATTTGCACTAGCCTGCCTAGTGGCGATTCAATTTCCCAGCTTCTTCTGCACTTGAGACCTGCCTACAAACAAACAGGGAAAGGTGATACATCACTCCGCAGATCCGCACGCATCGGCACCAATGATTTTTTTTTTTAAATTATCGCATTTATTTAAATTACAGTTTCCGTACAATTGTTTCTGCCCGTTCCTGTTTTGCGATTTCATTCACACCCAAAGTAGTAGTACACCTTTCCTAATGGTAGTTCCTACTTTGTAACGGCTATCGTGGCCGCCCCACCCCGCCCCTGGCCTGCTTCGTCCACAAACCGGTCAGTAGTCGTCTGGCCGCCTGGCTGTGGGACTCTATTGTATCGGTCCCCGCCATTGCGACCAGCTGCCGGTGTGGATGAAATCTGTACGGTGGTGGTGGCGGCGGCGGTGGCGGCGTCGGTGACGACGGCACTTCAACTCGGCATTCTGCTGCTGGTGTGGATTGTTTGCTTCAGTTTGGCGGCACTCAATGTGAGTGAACTTTCCTCTCCGTTTTTAGTTTTCAGTTTTCTTCATCACCTACAACCTACTGTTTTCATCAGATTTTTGCTCTTTGCTTGTTTTCCTGTGATCCGTGTGTGTGTTTGTGTGTTTGTTTGTGTGATTTTTTGTCAACACAAAATGGCGCGTCCTGTAATTCTCTTTTTTGCAAACTCAGGAATTGTGCTGTTTTAATTACTATCCTATACGATTGTTTTCGTTCTTTACGCGTGGTTTGTCCGAAATTTCGTGGAAGTGTGCGCATTTTAAGCATCATCATCATCATCCCTTTCATTTGTTCTACCATATTAATGCAAATTGATGTAATTTTGTTTGCAATGTTTGTTCTAAATTATTTTTTTAAGCTGCCTAAACACAAAATGGGAGTGGAGCTGATTGGCTACACGAGAAAATAAATATCCTTTGCTAGTATGAGCCTTCAAGCTGTGCGGTTCTGCTTTCTGCTATCCTTTGAATACACTAGTACAATTGCTTATATTGCTTTTAACTTTTTTGTTCTTATTTAGGTTAAGCTTGAAAATATTTCGCTACATAAGTTAAGGGAAAAAAAAAAGTTGGAAATACTTTCTGTTTTGCATGGTTGTTATAGGAATATACAGAAAACTAGCAGAACTACATGAAAGATCTACACATACGCTCGAAGCGATTGACTCTCCTCTCAATTGTGTGTGTGGGTGTGTGTGTGTGCTGTTTGTGAATAAGTAATGAACATTGTCCCTTCGCATGCCTAACAAAAAATGGGTTTCATGTGTGTGTCAGTCTTCTTCTAGGTTTACTAATAATAATAATTACTTCTGTACTTCTTTTGCTACATTCTTCTTCTGGGCTAGAAAATAAAACAAAAATCAACACGCACGCCGTCACGTACGACAAACTGGAATGACGGATCAATATCAATGATGTAGTAGTTTGAATCTTTCCAAAACTGTTAAAGAGTAGTACAAGCTGAAATTTTCGTTTTGTAAAAAAAATCTGATTTTAATATCAACCTTCGTTTTTCCACGGCACAAAATTTGAAATCTGCGGATCGGTAGGAATTGTCTTATCCCGGAAAAGAGTACTGGCGTACACAAAGAAAAACGACGAAAAAACTTACTCTGTCCTAAATTCACTTTCTCTCACACACAGTCACTTACAAACCGTTCCTCAATCGTTCTTGATCTCTCTAAAAAAAATTATCTACCAGGAAAGAAACCTCGATCACTAATCTCGCACAATTAGCATTACGCTCGCGCGTGCTTCCTATTTAAAACGACTTGTTCAAAACAAAAAAAAAAGTTTAATATAGTTAGTACTGTTTACAGTTATCCGTCCGGCTTATCGGTAGTTGTTAAAGTTATTCTGTTAGCATTATTATTATTATTAATAAACGTAGATGGTCTTCAACTGGGGCTTCAGCTCGGGCGGTATCGCCGGGGCGGGTTCGTGCGATTTTCTCGATACCAGGCGCTTGAAGCGCCCTGACAGCTGTCGCTTCAGTCCTTTGAAGCCGGTCTTATCGTTGTGTACTAACGCGTCCTGCAAGAGAAAAAAAATAAACAAAATTGAATTAGTAAAGGGTCGAGAGAAAGATTGCGAGGATCTAAAACTGAGTAGGCCCTGTTCGAATAAGAACTGAGAGAAGACGGATCGAATTGGAAACGAGCCCCAGCGTGTGTCGCAAGATAGAGAGAAGCAGGCGGCGCATGGTAAAATCACCTTCCACTGCCACTTCATCGAGCGTGTGTTCATGGTGGAAGTAGTGTCTGCAGCGTCATCTGCGACCTGCGGGTGATTCAGGGATTTTCTGTGCCGTCATTCGACTGGTTCTTCGACTGAAAGACGCATTCTATCACGACTGGCTGTGAAATCTTGTTTTGCTACGGCATAGGATTTCCAGGTCGAAAGATCTGGTTGGAATCATACACGAATTCAATGGCTCAACTGCAAATGAAGCTGCGTTCGAGTTTGTTGAAAATTGTGTGAGTTTCCAATTGGAAACTCCCATCGAGGGCAGTTCAATTGCAAATTTGGCTGCGTCCTCGCATCACATGACGGCGTAATTAATTTTGTATTTTCATTAAATTGAGTATGCAAAATGGCTTTCTCGACCATTCAGCAGCATCACTTGGTTGGCACACAGATGCCATGAACGTTCAAGAAGGGGTTACCGAAATCGGCAAAACCCCCTCTGATCAATTTACACACATTGAAGTGATAATGAGTTGACCTCGTGACTCACTCAATCGAGCGGCGCCAAGTTGCTCATCGCCAAATTTTTGACAGTATTATCCCGATTTGTGCTCTTTAAAAATGGCTTCTCGTTTCCTGAACTGTTGGCAACGGAGGTGCGTTGTTTTTTGTTCTAGGCGGCTGCTGGAGCTGAAGACAAAGAATGATGATTCTCTCTCTCTCTGTCTCTGTTGTCTTCCATCAGCATGATCACCATGAATAAACAAACCATTGCTGACTGGAATTAATGCATTTGCGTGACAGCGACGCTTCCTGACCGCTTAACGATTCCTCCTAACGTTAGCTCTGCTCCTTGCAAACAAACTAAGCGAGCTATTAATATATTTATATCACCTCCAACTGTCAGGTACGGGGATCCTAATTATTTAAATTACACTCCTATGAGGAAAAGCCCCGCACTTTGCATAATTATATCGCCGGGGGGTGCGATCGCCATCGCAGGGCCCTGCCTTGATGCCTCTAGCGCAACATGTTGCTGTCGCCATTTAAAAATAAACGGCAGCACCTTCACCCTCGGCGTGCGGCACGCCGCGGACGACCTAAATCAGACGGAGAGATACTCTAGAAGAGAAAAACTTACTCGCGTTGCCAAGTGCCAAAGTTTGCTAGCCATGTGCCCAAAAATACACACCGCGCTAAAACTATCTACACACTCGCTACCACCACCGGCAGCCGAGTTGCTTCACTTTTCCCGTTTCACTGCTACCGGTTCAGACTAGGGCGTAAGTAGTAGTGATGTTTGATTTTCTTTTTCTTTTGGGTCAATCAAAAACGTCATTCACTTTGGAAGAAGACTAACTTATCAATGATTAAATGTCAAATTACATTAGGGGAGAAAAAATTGAAAACACTGTCGTCGACGGAGTAAATTTAATCAAACCAAATGAAAATGGGCATCAACGTTCAATGCAGAAGACATCGCAGCATAACATTTTATTTTTTGAACAGGTTTAAAATAGGTTCAAAAAGGTTTCTTCTTTCGTCGATCGAAAATTTTCGAATAACTTGATTCGCTTTCCACAGCGACCAGAGTGCGATATTTTCGCAATAATCATATTGTCTGTTTCAATGGACAGAACGCGCCGAAATCGTTTTCGATGAAACAGTCAGTAGTACGTACAATCTTTAATTTAATCACGCATATCAATAGGTTTGATCCCGTACTTGCTTTTTTAACTTTCGCTGTAAGTTGCTGTAAGAAAATAATACAGGAATCCCCGGAACTATATTTCTACCAATTGAGCTGATTTTCTGTTTTGATTAGGGCTAACCACAAACACTCACAAAAAGTCAGCGCAAATGATTGGAAGACTGTTGAGAAATGGTGGTGGGTAGATGGCACCACCCACCGCGCACTTTTGGGATTCCTGTATTATTTTTCGGGAACGAACCTAATATTGCAAATCCACCGCTCAGATCTCGGTAGAAAGCGAATCAAGTGAATCGATTTTTTGTATCGTCAAACGTCAACCTATTCAAAAATTAATCCAGTATCCCACAATCATTCGACGTGGAAACGAGCCAGCCTAAGAAGGCTGAAAGACGAATTTTTCCGAGAACTCTGCTCGATCAAATCGATAAATGCTGCCGCTCGCAGCCTGCTGGTTCGAATTCGAACATCTCTAGGCTTCCTTTGTTCCCCCTTTATGCCTTGTGGCACAATGGAATTGATTGGATTCGCAACAGCCCAGGCCAGACGAGAAGCGAAGCGCGAAAGTCTAGATCAGAGGTGGCAACAGTACATTTTTTGAAAAACCATCGTCCAGAGCGTAACAAAACAGCCAGCACACGGGCGGCCGTTTATAACTACATTCGAAGCGAACAGCGGAGATAGAGAATAAATAAAATCTCGCAGCCTGATTTTTCCAAACAGTTTATTGTAATGAAATTTTAGCTGCAGGCTTGCGTGTGACAGTAAATTACTAACTCCCTTATTTACGCATAATTTTAACATCAATGCTTATGAGTGGTCAGTCTTCATTCTTATCTTTTAATTCCATGCAATAAACATCAAATAAATTCAGTAATTAGCCAGAAATCAGCAAAATTCTACACGACATAAATTTATGTCGCGCGCGCCGCCGGTCTTGTCTGCTTCTTTGTGCGAAAATGTTCTGTCGCTGGCAGAAAACAGTTTAGAAATGTCATGACATTTTTGCCGCTTGCCAATTTGTTTTTGTGTGTCGTCACAATGGTTATCGCAAAAAGTATCAAATGTTAAGGAAAAAATGTTACACTCCAGGACTCGTGCCACCACTGGTCTAGATAGCAACAGGGAAAGGAAAAACAGGAATCCGTTCAGAACGGCGCACAGCAAACCGACGGAGGAGAAGAGTTCAACGGCAGGCCAGCAAACCGGGGTGCAGTGAACTGCTGCTGCTGCTGCTGCTGGCTCCCAAACACAGTTGGGGAACACAGGAAGTTGGGAAACACCGGGGCGGAGGGGAGCATTGGTTCTCTTTCACCGTCTGGTTCTCATCCGTTCCGCGGGTCACCTCTCTCAGTTTTCGGTGGGAAAAAGCGAACTAAAAAGGATCATATTTTTTTTTTATGAACAAAAGGGAGTAGTACTTACTTGACTATTGGCGTTGTAGTGGTACAGGTTAGGCTGCGGCGGTAGCGGAGGGAACACCCACACGCTGGACGGGCTTTGTCGGAATGCCACCGGAGTTGGTACGGAGTATCCGTTCTCCAGCTGGTTGTTGTTATTATTACTGCTATGGTGATTGTTGTGATGATGGTTGGTGCTATGATTATGATGATGCGACGACGGTGGAGCAGCCTCCACGTTGGTCGCCGTCACTGGACTCACGGACGATTCTTCACGCTTTCTCAGTTTGCTGCGGACAAGACGCATGGTCATTAGGGTTCCGTTACTGCCGACCATTTTCTTGAGCTTATTAATTTTGGCGAGCGATTTATCACAGGTACACAAGCGGGCACAGATTCAGAATCTTTGGTTCTACTTCTTTGCAAGAAGACGATATTGGTTCTGCTATCACAAATTCTCCCGGAAGTCAGACTCCCGAAAAAAGCACAATCACTTGGAAAGTTTGCTTGACTAGAGCTCAAGGCGATTCTTCCTCCCTCACGGTTTAAAACGGTTCATCAATGTTTTTCAATCATTTTATTCGCTTGATTGCGACTTTCGAACACTCTTTTCTTCTGGGAAAGAAAAGCTGCCTCAATCGAATCTTGAATTCACTCTAAATTCCTCCTCACTTCACGCTATTTCAGCTCCCAAAAACTTTAATCTTATTCCGAACTTCTTTGTTATTGTTTTGCCCTCACGAACAAAACCTCTCTCTTTCAAATCGAATAATCTCACTTTCCTCCCGTGTTCTGTGGTAGCAGCGGAAGTTTTTGGCTAAACGAAAGCGCGAGCAGAAGAATATTCTATTTTAACGAACAACTGCTAGCTTCAACGGCTAAAACTCAACTTGAATCGGCTTCGGTTCGGCGCGCTCGTTTTATATATTCGCTCGAACGAACCGAACCGGCTTCGTGTCCCCAAGCCAACCACGAACCGAACACAGAAAAAACAGATGTTTGCCTGCGTGCTACAGTGCACCCATACACAAACACCAACACCACACAAGCAGCGTGTTCGACGTTTGTTTTGAAACGTCACAACGACTGCGTTGAGATTGCGGCTTTGCTGCACGTAATAGTAAAAAAACCGTTTTATTTTCCCAGTGCCAATCATCTTTCTCTGACGTGAATGCGATTGGAATCAAATCGCATGGGAAATCGAGGAAATGGGAACGGATGCTCGCATCCCGCGCCCGCTATCCAACACAGCCTACTAGTTGTACTGTGCTGTTGTGTATCTCCGGCCGTCGTGACGGACACACAGAGATGATGGGGGATTATAGAGGCGAATCCGGCTGTCCGTCACTCGCCGCCGGGAGTGATTGTGTTTCCAACAGCTGCTGAGTCACGAACGGGTTGTTCAGGTGTGGTACGGGCTGCCCAGAACCAGATCCGACAAGGTCACTTCTAGATTGGAGCAACACCGGAGAATTGGGTTACTCCCCCCTCGCCCGTCATCAAGAGAGTATGTTTGCAAACAACTCCTGCGCGAGCTGCTCTGTGCGGTGATTGAGAAAGCTCGCTTAGAAAGGTGAAACATTGCCAATATCCAATCCAACCCCATCATTCAAATGCCTCGCAAAGTGGTGAAAGTGTGGTTTGGTGCGTTGCAAGCCAATTGAATGGTGCAATTTGTAACTGACAGCGAATGTTTACACATTGTTTTGATTTGAATGGATTAATTAAAAGAATTGCTTCTTCAAGTGCATTCCCCGGTATAGGGATTGGGTGAAGCTCTCTATAATCTACGCCTAATTCACACTGGTATTCGGAATATTTTGCTATCTAAGGGGTGTGCTACAGCTACTAAGAAGTAGTCTTATCAGTGGAGCGGAAGTCACGCGCAATTTCTGTGTTATGCGAGGTCGGTAAATCCATTGTTTTGATGCAAAATTCGGCAAATCCCTGATGGTAAGACTTATCGTTTGGCACAAGCCAGGGATTAGCAAAATTGTTGGACGTAGTTTGATCAAACTAGCTAGCGCTGGTAAGCGTCAGAAGTTATGTAAGCTGAAAAGTTGCTGATTATTATTTGTGTGCGTAATCAAAATAGATTTGCCTCAGTCAATACAGTAAGGGTTCAATTTTGGCAATGCATGATTTACGACATTTTAGCATTCCACAAATATTCATAATTTCAAGCTGTTTGACACTAAACTAACAAAGGGACAGTTTGCTCCTATCCAGGGTGACCAGTGAATTTTCATTTTAAAATTCCCAGTTTTTTTCCCGGTTCAAATCTTATATATTCCCACTTTTTAATATTAAGTAAACATAATGACTGCAATTAGGATATTTTCGAGGTACTTAAGGTCCATTTAGACTATTAGGATTTGCACCGTCGGGGTTAACCTCAATCTGATGGCAGTTCAGTGGTACTGTTTACGTGGACTTAGTCGATTTTTTCTTGGGTAGATTTTCTGGATCATTTTTCAGATTGCAGTGAGATGTAAACCACACTTTTGCAATGTCCACGAGCAACATCCTTTCACCACGCATTTCCTCGACAATTTTCAAGTTAAAATTCGGAAATTTAAAAATATATTTTTTTTTCGAAAACACGACTAAGTGCTTGTAAACAGTACCACTGAACTGTCAAAAAGGTTCAGCCGTTTAACACTGAGTTAATTTGTGACGTCACGCTGCAGAACCTAATAAACGAGTTGGATTTGAGTTCATGCTCTCGACAAAAAGTGACACAAAAGCGGAACCCTGTTTACTAAAAATGAACACATGAATAATACTCGCGTAACATTTGAAACGGGCCTATCAACTTTAGTACACAAAACTGGTTGAGCCCTTTTCGCGCGAACCGAATACGCCCACGCAAACTAACAACACCATCGGGTCGGGAAAATTCTTTCCTTCCCGATAGTGCTCTTGGTTTCCGTGGTCGTTCTTCGGTTCTCGTGAAAAGGACTTAGCAAATTGTTTACAAATTTTAATGGGCCCTTTTCATATGTTACGCAAGCATTATTAATGTGTTCATTTTTAGTAAACAGGGCCCCGCTGTTGTGTCACTTTTTGTCGAGAGAGTGAACTCAAATCCATCCGTGCACTCGTCTATGTGATTCTGTCGTCTGATTCGAGCGGACTGCTCGATAATTTTGTCGGATGCAATGTTCGGATGCGTTCACACTTTTTCGACGTTTAATTTGTCGAACGAAATAGGTTTGTGTTTAATTTTCATTCGACTCATTCAGCAAAATAGCCGCAAGTGAGGTGAAAATAGCCGGCGCCGGTAAGCGTGACTGCTTTCTCACACCCCAATGGGTCTAGGTTCAATCCCAGCCGAGGTCGGTGGGATTTTTCTGAGGCATAAAAATCTCTGGTCACGTCTTCCTTCGGAAGGGTAGTAAAGCCGTTGGTCCCGGCCCATGTGTGTTTGAATGGGTGCGATATCCTACGCAGGTGTGGAAGCTGCCTTCCTGCACATTCGATTGCCGTCAATGGATTGCAATCGATGTCCGTCGGTGATTGGCACTAGATTGCGAAACAGAGACCGACGTTAAATAAAGGAATGAAGAAGAAGAAGAGGTGAAAATATTGATTTCTTTTTTCTAAAATTTCCCGAATTTGAACTGTTAAAGAACGCTTGATTTGTGTTTTGATGGCAAGATAAACCGATTTCACTGTTCAATATTGTCCTGAGTATGATTTGAGTGATTTTTATTTTCCTGCATATTTTACATAAGAATAAGCATGCCAGACAGTAGGTCTGAGAGCCTACTAAGATTTGTTTAGAGCTTAAGAAAGGTTCGGAGATGTACTGAGAAATTTATTGAGCTTCAAGGGTAGTTCGTAGATCTTGAGAACAGAACTACAAAACTTCAGAAAATTTTACAGAAATTTAAAGAAATTCGCAGAACTTCAGACAAGATCAAAAATCTACGGTAAAATGTAAAGAGTTTCACAGAAGTTTGGAGATCTGCTGAATAATTATTGAACATTAGAAAAGTTCGTAGATATTCAAAACAAAGCTACAGAACTTTGGAAACATTTACAGAACTTCTGAAAAATAAATAAATACAAGAATGGTCATAGATCTTCAGATAAATTTAAAGGCCTTCAAGAAAGTGTGCAGATTTTCTAATACATTTTTAAAATCTCACATATTTATGAATCTTCAGTGAAAATTGCAGAACTTCAGGGAAGTCCGGCGATTTAATACTTCAAGGAACCTCATATGTTTTTAGATAAATTTAGAGAACTTTAGGTAATTTCGAAGATCTTCAGAGAAATTTTCAGATCTTCAGGGTAGCCCGAGAGCCTACAGAGGAATTAACAAGTTTTCAGATCTACTGAGAAATTTATTGAGCCTCATGGTAATTTGAAGAACTTGAGAATAGAACTATGGAGGTTCAGACTACTTTACAGAACATTAAAGGTATTTGCAGAACTGCAGAAGAGTAGATATGAAAGAAAATCTGCAGACCTGCAAGGAATTTTTCAGATCTTCAGAGAAAATCAGTGGTTCAGAAAGCTTCACAGTTTCAGAAAAATGTGAGATATTCAGAACAATTCAGAAAAATTCTTCAAATCCAAAAACAAATCGAAGTCATGTACGAATGTCCAAAATTTTGCAGAACTCCATGGAAGTTGGAAATAGATAGATCCGAAGAACTTCAGAGAAACCCGTAGACCTTAAGAGAAGTCTGTAGAACTTCAGAAGAAATCGAACATTTTTAGAAAAAAAAATGCAAAACTCCAGCAAGACTCACAGAGCTTCGGGAAAGTTCGGCGATCTTTAGAAGTATATACACAACTTCAGAGAAATTCGTAAATCTTCAGAGAATGTTTTAAAACTTCAGCGAAGTTCAAATATTTTCAGATAACTTGTAGAGCTCAGGGGAATTTCAAATAATTTCAGATAAATTTGCAGAACTTTATGGAAGTCCAAGAATCCACAAATAAATTTACAAAACTTTAGAGAAGTTCGAAGATCTACTGAGATATTTATTGACCTTCAGGGCAGTTTGTGGATTTTTAGAGTAGAAAACTGTACTTCAGAAAACTTAACAGAATTTTAATGAGGGTAGATCGTAAATCTGCTGAAAAATCTGCAGATTTTAAAATAAATTTTCTGAATTTGATTGAGGTGCTCGGATTTGAAGAGAAATTTACAGAACTTCAGGGGAGTTCGCTGATCTTTAACGATATTTGCACAACTTCAGAAGCTCAAAAACTTCTAGATATTTTTTATACATTAGGGAATTGTGTAGATGTTCAGAGATATTTGCAGATATTC